TTATTTTATTGTTTTCAATCTACCCTTATTCATTTGATTTAATTTTCCTCTTGTTAAAGTTTATTTATTTTCAAATTAACCCTTCAATTTAATTTTTTTATACCTTCCTTTATTTCTTATTTCAATTTTCTTCCTCATTCTTTTAATCATAAAGTTTGTGTGGTTTTTTTCTCCAATTTCATCCTTCAGCTATTAAAGATTTTATGGTTATTTTTAATTTTTTTCTATTAATTTATCATGTTCTCATAACCTAGACCATGGATTTTGCAAAACTTTTTTGAATAAAACTTTTTAAAACATAATTTTGTTTGTATTTAATTTTTGAATAACTCTTTTTATTTTATACAAGTGAGCTTTATTTTATAAGAAAAATATTTATTCTAAAATAATATTTTTTATTTATTTGGTCTTGCATAATATTTTTTTCTTTTATTTTATTCAATCAATCTTGTATTTATTTTTGTTTCTATTATCTTCTATTCATTTTAATAAGAGGACAAATAACATTTCAATAAAGGGTGAAAACGAAAAGAAATTAAAACAAAAATCATACAATCAAAAGCAAGATGATTGGATCAAATACCAAGACAAAATAAGAGGACAACATTGGATTTTCTAATTGGACAGCATGGTGTCCAAGGCAAAGAGAGAGAAAAGGACAAGAAATAAAGAAAACATCGTCAAAGTCAAACCACTTACCAAACCACCTCATGCACCCTTTCATTTGAAAAAGGACATTGTAATCTTTCTCACATCATTACGGATGGTTAATTTTCACCACCTAAATTCTCTGCACACATCGTCCAAAGTGTAACGAGTGACTTAACACGTTGGCATGTGAATATGTGTGTGTGTGTGAAAAGACTAATAAGTCCTTCAATCCTAGCTTAAAAACTCTTAACTTGAGAGGTAACTAAGTAAATTTATTGTTTATTTAAAAAATAAAAGACTAACTCACCCCTATTTTGAACCAATAATTACAGAAGGATCAAAAGGAAAATATGAATAAACATTAGATCCTAGTTAAGATATATTTGTTTAAAAGAGCAACAAAGTTAATTCAATGTGTTTTTTAATTAAAAAAATCAAAATCACCCTTTAATCAAAGCAATTGTTATTTTATTTTTTACATATCAAGGACATCCAAATCATTAAACTATACAATATAAAAAGAGAAATACATCCTAAACCATAATCAAATTGATAATAATTGATTAGTCCATGTGCAATTACAATTGTATCCCTAAAGTAATATAAATGAGTTTTTTAAAGAGAAAAATAGTAAATATATTATTGATGTCCGCAATATATTGAGTATGTATCTATAATGAATTCTCAACCTCTTTTAGGTTTTTTTTAATTTAACATTGCTTAGTTGCAAATAACGTGAAAAAAACCTAATTAATAGTAGAAGTTAATAAAAGTAGTGTTGTTTGTTTAAAAACATAGTAAATTACTATAAATATTAGTCTCATATACAAAACCATAATATCAAAAAATAATATAAATTTTTAGATCATTATATTAATCTCTTAAAGTCTTATGCATACATTATTAATTATATTATTAATTATGATTATAAAACTAAACTTAACTCATAATTTGTTTAAAAGTATGAGTCACAAAGTTGGGTTAATAAACTCGAGTTATCTCATTCAATTTAAACAAGTTAACTCCACTTAGTTTTTTTAAATTCAACCGGGCTAAGTGAGTTTTAATTATTTAAAATATTATTATCATTGTTATTATTAGTAAGGAATAATAAGCACCAGACAAAGAAGTAATAAATTAAAAAAAATTATAGATAGTTGTAAGTATATGAGTTAGCCGATATGTTGACTGTTAAATAGCATTATAAAAAATAATATCACTCAAAAGAGGACCGAAGATGAAATGTTCTTTTAGTTACAATCTGTCTGGCATGGGTATTTGATATTGTCTAGGTTTTATTCTGTTTAGAAATATAATTGTGATTATTTAAAAGAAAATATTAAAATATATTAAAATAATATTTTTTTTATTTTTTAAAAATTATTTTTAAAATAAACACATCAAAACTATTTAAAATATATAAAAAAATTATTTTTTTATAAAAAATTAAATTTTTTGAAAACGCAGTGCAAACCGTGTTTCTAAATAAATAAATTTAAAAATAATATAAATTATATTTTTTAATTTAGATAATGTCAAACCGTGACATGTGGCAGGCACTTTCAAATATATAATTGAAATAAAATGCAGCAACGCAACCCAACAGGGTCTCGATACTATGAACATATGTAATCGTGGCTCCTGGGATAGTTGATTAGACACTTTAGACCAGCTTAGATTTTAGATTATAGTTAATTACGTGTGTTATTATTAAAACTGTTGATCAAAATAATTGCAGTAGATCTCAAGAAAAAATACAGTCCGAGAATATCACACGTGGCGCCCGCTATGCGTTTTACCTACTTAATAAGAATCTTTATGGTGATAGGAGTTTAAATGGAGATATTTTATTAGTAATTATTTGTATTTATTAAAAAAAAACATAAAATTCCTTTGTATTTGTCTCAATTAAAAATATTTTGATTAATTAGAGTTACATTCATAGCATTAGGATTACGTGCATGGTTTAAATCCATAATATTATTTTTTTATATTTTCAAGTAACAATATGTTTTTATACTTATTTTGTATAAGAATTTTTATTTCGTATATCTTTTTTAAAATAAATAAACTATGTTCAAAAAAATAATAAATATAAAACACTTCGGTTTTCGAAAAACAGAACCCAAAACACAAAAAACAGACACCTAAGGAGCTATATTTCAGAGCCATTCTAATGGTGATCACACCTTCACTTCGGTAGCTAGGGAAGAAAAAAGGAGATCTCCCTAGTAATTTATTCCATCATTATCATCGCCTAAAAAGATAATACACGAACTTGGGGTGAACTTGGGAGTGAAAGCTGTTGTCAGTACAAGAAGGAAACAAAAGATGCAAGAACATTAGACATTGCCTCCAAAGAATTCTCATCCAACTGGAAAAAAGCAGCAGATATCTCCACCTCTTGGGAAGGCCGCGGTTCTATCTTGATACTCCTACAAGGGCAAGATCAAGGCAGTATGGAGAAATAGCAGCTTGGACAATCAAAGTCAGGAATTGAACCCCATCCTTGAGCTTCAGGGGGGTCAATTTAATCTAACAGTGTAAAGGGGATGTACAGAGCCAGTGATCAAGAGATGGCATTTTAGTCTGGATTTATTTGACATCTAAAACCTGTCTGTCAAGCACCTGCGTATAGATACTGCGAGTTTGCTAACCTTATGAGGGTGCAGAACAAGGGCGCATAGTCCAAAACAAACAGCAATAAGAGCAATTACATAAAATGAAGGACGATACTTCAAGACTCTGTCAGAGAAAACGAGATCACATGACTTCTTTGGCCTTTCATTGACAGGGTTCATCCTCATGACGATATCTTTAGTCAAAAGTGGAGACTCATCGCTTCTAACAGTAGAATTGGAGATTCGAATTACTCCCAATACACCATCTGGTCTTTGTTCCAAGTTCTGCAAATAAAGAAAATTCATATGATCCTTCAAGGAACATAAAAGGCATCAATAAAGCACTGTTCAGTCAAACAAGGTGAGACAAAGATCTCCCTATTCAAAAGTTTCCAAAATATGGCAGGTAGATATAGCACCGCATTGAACAGTAATATACAGCTGCATGATGCTGCTAGTGCCCAAAATATGGCAGGTAGATATAGCACCGCATTGAACAGTAATATACAGCTGCATGATGCTGCTAATTCAGCTAGAAGAAAGTAAAACGATGACAAATTTAGAAAAAATATAAAAAGAAAAATAAGAAAACCTCAAAACTTCATGGGTTGCAGATGCATCTGCTAATGGAAAAAACATCTCCTTGATATTTTTCTCAAACCAGTTGAAAATTTAAAATTTTTGGTACGTAAGCAGATCAAAACCATGCTTTAAGCAGCTCTGGATAATTTTTGTCGATGCATCCATAAGAACACTTATCAAATATGTAGGCTGAAAATCTGGAGCATACAAGACAAGACACCATTGTCAAACTATTCAAAACAAGTTGATTTCCAATATAAAAACGAGATTCTAAGTTGCAAAGGAAAAATCACTGCAATGAACTTTTAAGAGAATGAATCATAGTGATATGATGCATTTTCCAGAAATTGGAAGAGTCAACACTCAGAAATTAACCAAAGTTTCTTTTGCCGCTTGCTCTATGTGCATACAATTTTACCAGTTTGTTTCTTAAATTCAATATATCAAGTTACCAACCAAAAACCCAACAAAAGTAAACAATAAAGGTTAATGGAATAGTAATTCATGTAAAAATCCATAAGCTTTCAATCCTTAATGACAAAACCAAACACATTGCTCAAAACTTGAAGTGATCAACATTGACATTCTTACCTCTGTGGAGAGAGCAACTGATTCCTTGTTGTTTCCACAGCAGCTTCCTGAAATGCAATTATTCTCCTTTCCAGAAAATTCCAAGTGATGCTTCAAAACTTCACTTCTCTGGAGTTTTTCATGAAGAATATTGCTTGCATAATCCATGTAACTCTGCAATAGCCTCGTGCTAGTGTCACTAGTGCCATTAATCATACCATTGGCCTCCTTTTTGTCCATCATGATCTTCAGGTTTTTTAAAATTTTATCCAAAATGATGATTGATTCATGGTGTAACAAGAAATTCAACAAAGAATTGATTCTTTGAATCTGGAAAGAAGTCATAATTTGTTGAGAATTTTCTGCATAAGGCTCCTTTAGCAACCAAGCAATGTCCATAAAGAACTCTGAAAATGCTGTTTGTCTCATTGTAGAAACCTCACACTCTGAGCCAATAATCAATGAATGAGATGCATCAAATCTCTGCTGAATTATTTTCATTTCAGAACAAATTTCTGTGTCCCCAATAAGTATAGGGATATAGTTTGACAAGCCACTCTCATTCTCAACCTGCAAAACACATTTATAGTTAAAAACCATTCTCCAAAATACTCATATTGACCTCTATAACTAGAAATATACTATTAAAACAAAATCAGCTAGACCTAGTTTCAGGCTCAGGAAGTCAATAATACTAAGCACCAATGATGCTACCAATAGCAAGTGATTGCACAAGATAACATGATGCAGCAACCTAGTCCCAATACCAGAACAACCCTCATCACCAACTTCGTTCAAAACAAGAACCATATAAAATAGCTGTAGAAAGGTTCCATAAACATAGAATGATTTTGGTGGTGAATTTAAGAATTGATGGGTACAAGTAGTTAAACCAGCATCCCGCATATCCGTTTTTGGAATCCAGTATTTTTTTAACAATTACTCATAAAGAATAAATTCGAATTTATTGCCCTTACCAAACTGGATAAAATGCCACATCAGACCTCAACAAAGGGCCATTAGAAATTATATATTTACCAAGAACATAAAACACTTCGGTTTTAAAAATTTAAAGGAAGTCTGAAATTTGGAACTGCTAAGGAACCGCATGACAACCATATTATCAGTTCACACCTCGGCCTCCAGGTGGTATTTTGGCATCTCAGAACAAAATGATTTCGATTCCAGAAAAGAAAATCAAAGGGCATAAACCACAAAAGAAACTATTGCAAAAAACAACACAGGAAAAAGATTCAATCCCCTTCATTTTGAATACGACAGAAAATAAAAAATCATTATATAAAGAGAAACGGAAAATGGAAAGTCCTGCAAAACTTCACAAACATAGCTAGATGCTTCATTGTTAAAAGAAGCAATACACAGCGAAACACCCAAATAAAGCATGGTGCACACCTCAATAAATGCAGGACCTAAAAGATTAGGTTCGTTACAATGTGTAAGTATTTTGAACAACTGATGGTGAAGACCTGGACCCCCTTTGGTATGAGCTTGTGGTAAAGCAACACAATAATCATGCGCAAGATACTTCCCAGCAAAAGATACCAGAAACCTGCCATCAAAATCATTTTTGTAGGAGCAGAAAATATAGAACCGGGCAGAAAAAAAAATTCACAACATATATTAGCATGCAAAAGAAAAGGAATGAAAGATGCAGTTCTTTAGATTCATAGCAAGTTTAAGTTAAAAGAGACAACACCGAAGAGTTTAAAAACAGATATCCTTCACCTTCTGATTTGAACTGCATTAGATTCAGGCACACTTGACACTGGCATATTAAGATATTGAAGGGTGATGATACACCAAAAACAGAAATATCTAATATAAATTATTTGGTTGACAAATGGTTTATTTTCCCACCATGTTAGTAGGTTGATATCATCTTACAGACATTTAGTTATTCTACTTAATACTAGTAGAGATGCCCAAGGGAACTCCAGTATCAACTTGTATGTTTTTGGCTTGGAGCTGAGCAGCAAGGCTATTACTATCACGCAGAGAAATACAAATACCGAAGCCTCATATATGATAATGAATTTCCAGCATAGTGAAACAAGAAATTCAAAAACTAATAGAAGACATTCATCCATTAACTGCAAAGAAAACGAAATGCAGTTGTCGGGAACTATTAAGTGAATTTATAGTGCATCCAGTAAAAAGAGCTCCACCACATCAGTAAATAGTTTGAAGCCAGAGAAATCGTTGCAACATTTTTATTTTTTTTTCAGTTCTGATAGCATCATCGCCAGGAAAATCATTCCACATTTTTTTATTTTTTTTTCAGTTCTGATAGCATCATCTGCATGCACCAGAGATGCAGCAAAATCAGCATTTATTGGGCCAAGGTTGTTCACATCAGGAAGCTGATTCCATCCTTAAGACAACAAATCAATTACTATTTATAAGGAAAATAGATCATAACCAGAAGATTCTCTACCATGCTAATGGAGATCTGACTTGTTATCCACAAATTGAGGAGGTTGGGGTTGATATGATCAAGCATGAGGAACTATGAGAGCTCATAAACAATGAATCCAGCCTCAATGCAACTTTTCCAACAAACTAAAAATGAGACTGATAGGCAGCAATCACATATAAGTATGAAACACACTAAGGGGTCAATTCAAAATGAAATGAATTATTATAACACATTGCATATAATCCCTTGAAGAGCCCCATTTGGTTAAAATCTTTCTATGTATTGACAATAAAAGATGAAGAAAAAAAAAACTTCTTCTGGCAAATAGTACTTAGTAACTTCTTCTGGCAAATGGTACTTAGTAAATGCCAAAAAAATATAGATTAATTGCATAAAAAAGTCCTTACTGAAATTTGGGCTGCAACAAATTACTTCCACAAACAACAAACTCTATGGGCTTTCCAACCTCAAAACATGTAGGGTGAACATAGTGAAGCCTTGGGGCGTGTCCTTCCACATTGACTTTCATCATGGAATTTCCATCTAGGCCAATAGAATGTTCAGTAATTAAACAAATGGAATGAACAAATGATTGAAAAGGAATAAAGAACAGGGCTATTTAAGAGCGGACTTTCAGTTAATTATGGTTGTTTGTTTGAATTAGTTTTGTTCTTGCATCCTTTAGGAACAATACACTCATGTAATGTACAAACATTAAGAATGAAACAATTATCATACCTTTTGCAACATTGAAGATCATGTTATTTACATAAACACGCATACGGCCCTTTTTAGACAACATTTTTCCACTACCAAGAAGGTCGTTCAAATAAGACACAGGATCTTCAACTAACTGCTTCATACAGGTAAATGTATAAGTTCAAATATTGAGTACAATCTAATAAAATTAGAAAACTGCTAGTGAAAAAGATATAAAAAAAAAAAGAGATTAAGAGAGCAATATTTATGAGAGTCAAGAAATTTAAAAATAAACTATTTACTTGATGGTACTAATGTTTTCTGCAATTAAGCCTCAATAACAACCATTTTGTTAAAGCAGATGAGAAAATATTAGTTATTACATGCAAGACCAATTAAATTCTTAAAAGTAGAATAGCATGAATAGTAACACATTACACTGTGAATGGTAAAATCAAGCTTCCCATAAGCTATGGGCAAGGATGAATTCAAAAATCAAAGTTGTGTGGAGCGCAAGTTATCCTTGACGAAAATTGAAGACCATGCTTGGGAAAAGAAAACTTCAGATTTGAGAGGAACAAGAAAGCAGAAAACAGAAGAGAGGTAAATGCATTTGTGAATGATCAACAGTGAGAAATTTTGTGATTGCTTGTGCTCATTGGGAACGTGCATAAATTAGAAGCTGTAGACACCCGCCTTCTCGGAGATTTCAACATATATGGGTATGAAAATAAATGAGTGCTCTCAGACTCTCAGCCTTGAGAATATATATGAGTATCACCATATATATCTGCTTAGACATTTGTGCATGCACGGAAATCCAAATAACTAATTGAGAACCCTGTAGTTTTGTTGATTCACTAATTAAAGATGCTTCAAATGAAACCTAAAATTAAGTGGAGCAATCAAACATTACTACGTGTAGATCTACATATAACACAGAGCAAATGAAACCTAAAATTAAGTGGAGCAATCAAACATTACTACGTGTAGATCTACATATAACACAGAGAATGCATATGCATTGTTGTAGATAGCATTTCTTCAAAAACTCTAGATTCATCTAAACCTTCAAAGAGATTTTTGTAGAAAACATATAGCATATTACCTTCACCCACATAAATGTTGGCATCGCTATAAATGCAGTCAGGATTGTACATCCTGGCCGAATATATCCTTCCAACTCAACTGGCATATTGGCCAACCATTGGAATATCTGTAAAGACAGTTACCACCTGTCAACTGATTCCTGATACCCTTGACTGCATATAAATTATTTCTCATTCAAATACTAAACTGTAATAGTAATTCTTTAAAATACTTGGTGTCGAAGCCTTCGAGGGAATTCTGCTGGATTCCAGTCATAAAGCTTGAATGAGATCCGACCTGTCGGACACTACAAGAAAAATTCCAAATCAGTAACTCCACAAATTTTAAAAATGAAATAATAATCATAGAGAGAAAAAGAAATGAACAACATAAAGCATGCAAAACATAGAATCCACACAATAATAGAGACCAACCATGGATGCATAATCACTCTTATTGTCACAATGCGAAGGAGAAAACGAAAATTTGGAATCATCTTTCCCCCCATCCATTAGCATGTCCCCAAAAGCCGTGAAAGATACTCCACTATCACTAGTAACATTTTGAGAATTAGGATCGGAGTTCATGGTGGAAACATGTCCATCTTCAGACTCAACCAACCCTTCTTTCTCCGCCATCTGACCACTGGAGCACAACCCATCTGCACCGCATAGAATAAATACATTAGGCTTCTTGGTTCGCTCAGAAATTGGAAATGGAACACAAATCTCTTTCCAATTCCTTGACCAGAAATCTTTTGCTGGGATACTGTAGTATAAAAGTAGGAAATTACTCCCTTCCTATGGCGCATTTAATATTATGATCCTCCTACTGGCGCATTTAATTTCAAATAGAATTGGAATAAGAAACCTATCAAAATAGGTATCGGGATCCTATTTCCATGTCCAGGACCAGGATCCGAAGCAAACTAAAGTCAGCCATCAATTAGCAAATGATCAACGAATAAAATTCAAACAAGAAGACCTTTACAAGCGAATAACAAACAGACACACACGGGCAGAGATCATAAACTATATAGAAGAGAAAAACCTTTCTCAACTTCAGCATCACAAGTAGTAGTATCTTCAGTTAGCAAACACCCTTGAACTTCCTTATCACCTGCACTCGCCTTACTAGAATCAGCTGGCTTCCTTCTCCTTCTATTATTATGCCTCTCTAATTTCCTTCTACAGCTCCTTTTCCCTTCATCAAAATCCGATAACACATGAAACCTGCCAGATTAAAATGTGCATCAAATATCGTACGATAAGACGTCGATTTTTTAATAAAGCACAGAATTTTTTGCAAAAAATACTAACTTGCCACACTGTTGACAGTATCTTTTAGTTTGCTCGTCAAGTACAACAGCAGTAGCAGTAGCACACCGTAGACAAACCTTGTGTCTTCTATGATACCCTTTGAGTTCACTAATATCCGTTTCACAACCGGGTACTTGACACCTAGCAATACTCGACCCAGCACGTGCAACTCTAACCCGTTTCTTTCCAGGCAAAGTAGCCTCTTCCTCTCGTAATAATTCATCCACCTCCGGACACGCACACGGTACTATACCCGCTAGAAAATTGGAGCAAGTCAACCTCGGGTCTCGCTTCCTTACCCGATCAGGAACAGGAAGCTGAACCTGTTGAGACTCGATTTCTGGTGTTGGATTGTCAATAGTTTGGGGGAGGTCACCAAGAGAATCGAAAGAGAGAGGGATTTGATCGTCTACGGAGAAGTCCAGGAGATCGCTCCAGTCCCAATCGGTGGTGATCGGAGGGTGGTGGATTTCCATGTCGCGAGAAGTCCAGGAGATCGTTCCAGTCCCAATCGGTGGTGATCGGAGGGTGGTGGATTTCCATGTCGCCGCCGTGTTGTGATGCAGAAGGAGGAGGGGCAGGGGAGGAGGAGGAGGTTTCCATGATTAGAAGAGGAGATAAAGATTTAACGATTAAAAAAAAAAGATTTTTGGAATTGGGAACTTTTGACGTAGAAGAGACGAAAATGAAGGGGGTCCGGTTGGTGGGTTTTTGGGATAGGGTAGTTGGCGGCTCGAAGTCGTTGATTAATATTTTTTAAACGCGATAGGGACAGAAACAAAAAATGGCTTGTCTTTGGATTCACGGGTTGATTGGTAAATTAGATTAATTATATTTATTAAAATAGTTTTTTTCCATTTTCTTTTTTGTTGTTGTTGATATGATTAAGGGGGAAAAGTTACTTCTACGAGTGTTTTAAAATTTAAAATATATTAAATTATTTGTTTATTTTTAATATAAATATATGAAAATTATCAACAAAAAATTAATTAAATATTTTTTTAAGTAAATATATTTTAAAAAACATCCAAAAAAATATTTGACTAGTATAGTGTTTCTTAAAAAATTAATTAAAATATATTAAAATAATTTTTTTCACTTATTTTTTGACATTTGTATATTAAAATCATCCAAAACTTCTAAAAATATCAATTTCATATTTTTTTTAATTAAAAAACATGTTATAAAGCTAAAAAAAAAACCTTCAATAAATTAATGTATTTTTTAATTTAGCTTAAACTTGATCCAAGTTAAATTTGAATTGATAATTTTCTAAATTAATCTTTTAATTGAATTAAGTTCAAGAGTCTCGCAACCGGGTTTGTCAGAAATTTCTAGAAAGAAAGAAAATGAAGTCATTGTGTTTTAGGACAAAGGGGCTTATGATGGGGTTGGGCATGATTTTTTGAAATTTTTCTATATATTATAAATTATTTTTATGTATTATTGTTAAAAATATTTTTTTAAAATTAAAAAATATTTTATTTTAATATATTTTTAAATAAAAAATATTTTAAAAAACAATTATTATTATAAATACTACCCTAAATATATCTTGATTACGAGCATAATGTATTTTAAGATTTTTATTATTATTATGTTATATTGGATAAAAAATAGCATTATGTATAAGATTAAATTGTGTTGTAAAAAAAAGAATAACTAAAATTAATTCATATCAAAACAATAAATAAATATTAATAAGAGACATTATTTTTCCATTTTGATAATGATTTTCACATCTAAAAGCTAAAAAAATGTGCATATACTCCTATGGTAGTGTGCTCCGAAGAAGGGCGTGCCAACTTGGAAATGTTTTTATTTAAAATTATTTTTTTATTATTTTAATTAATTAATATTAAAAATATTTTTTAAAAAGCTATTTTAATATATTATTAAAAAATAACTTTAAAAAAGTACCACTTCAGATTCATTGAATTATGGTTTTGGTGGGACATGGCGTGTGGTCGTGGTGGGTAATGGCGTGTGGTGGAGGCGGGTGGTGAAGCGTCTTTGTCGAGAAGAAAAGGATGGCTGTGTGGGTGTGTGTGGGGAAGTGTGGATATGGTTTTTTTTATTTAAAAATTTATTTATTTATTTTTAATAAATTATTTTTAAAATCAAGATAATTTAAAAATATTAATTTAAAATAAATAAATAAAAATTTAAATATTTTAGAATATATAAACAAACCGTGTTTATGTAAAGTATTAATGGCAAGTACAGTGCTTATGTA